AGTATTTTTCTCTTACGATTAAACATGTTTCCAAAAATTATTTGATTCCATCTTGTGACAACTTCCTGAAATTTTATAGTGGTTTCCATGAGGGGTGAGGTATCAGCCCATGTTTGGTGCACCAATTGATGAAATTGTGGGTGTGACACCCACATGGTTTCATATCTAAAAAATTTATTAAGTGTATGAATTTTGGCCTCTAATGTTATTAGAAGAGGACGATGGTCAAAATACGTTTGAGGTAAGTGTTGCACTGTAGCCTCGGGGTACATATTTATCCAGTCATAGTTTGCGAAAAAAACGATCTAGTCTATCTAGAATTGTATGACCATTTCTACGTTTATTAGTCCACGTAAAACGACTACCTCTAAAGCCAAAGTCGATTAACTTGCAATAATTAATGCAATTTGCAGATCTGTCTACTCTATTAATACTAATAGGGCGCCCTCTAAATTTTTCTCTTGAATATAATTTTTCACTAAAGTCTTCCCCTATTCCCAAAGAATATTGCGTAACTGGTAAGAATTGCTAGCATAAATTGCAGATAGTAGCCATTTAGGTTTAGTGGGACATACCTGGACAATGTAGTGGATTTCTTGTTCAGACATCCTCAGTTCCTCCACAGTAATTAGAGCTTCATTCCATAGTACAACCAAACCACCTATGAGTCCATTTGCGGACACCTGCGCCATGTTAGTGAAATTGAAGGCCTCACGAAGCCTTTTATGATCATGCATGTGTCTTTTTAGAAGGATTGCTAGAACTGGCATATGGTTATCTAACAAAGATCTGAAATGGCGCCTAAACTCCGGATTGTGAGAACCTTTACAGTTCTATACTAGTTGATTCATAATATCAGAGGTGGTTGTTGTGTCTGGTAAAGTTGGAATCAGCTGATTGACAACAGTTGTTGTCATCTGATTCTGATGATCCATGATGGGAGGCATTCAACGAAGTGTCAAAATTATCACCATGGCATATTTCCCTGCCTCGCGACTTGTTGTTACTCAAAAGTTTAGGCTGCATGAGGTCATTTTTGGAGGACACTTGAGAATGAACTATTTTTCGTACTGTTCCTTGAGGTTGTAGAGCTGGATTCCTTTTAGCCATAAGAACTCCGTCCTTGTTTCCCTCATTTCTGCTAAGATCTCTGCTAATTCCTGCCTTGTTTGTGTGTCTAGTGTGTTTCGAGAGGGAGGTGGAGTTTGTGGTGGACTTTCTTGTAGTGTAAGTATTTCGAACGGGCTGCTGGGATTGGAGTATGGAGAAAGTGGGTTGAAAGAGTTAAGGTGTTAAAACCAAGGTGCATAAATCTCCCCCATGTGGTGTGTAGGATAAAATGGCAGAAGATTGATCGTTGAGTTGAGAATAGGGGTTGGGGGATTCTTGGGGTATGTCCACTGTTGTGGGTTCGAACTTGATGCTTGGTGCTCTAGTAGGAGTGGTATTTGAGTGTTGTACCATTGATTTTGAGAATAAGCTTCCATCCCTAATCTCATCCTCTTCGTTACTATTTCTGCTAAGCGTGTTGGATTCTGAACTAGGAAACAACGTCCTGATTGTTAAGTTCCATGGTGAACACTAGTGCATAGCCCTGTAGTCCCATATCCAATCACGATTGAAGTGGAAGGTCCATTATGTGTGGCTGAGATGTGTAGACTAGTGGTGTGATGATGTGTGGGAGTTGTGGGCCTTGCATGATTAGCCTCGGAAGATGAAAGAAGTGGTTGTTGTCTAGGTTTCTCAGATAAGTTTGTTGTAATTTTCTGGGAATGTTGGTCGTAGCATGGTGATTTGTTATAGAGAAGGGAGATGGTGTAGTATTGTTGTTTGAACTCAGTTGTAATGACTGCGTATTGGCACTAAGATTCAGGCTATGTGCAGTGCTATGTAGAGGTGGAGTTATTGAATCAGGTGAATGGGCTTGTGTGTTATTTGTGTTCTCATGGTGGGTATTACATAAAGGGTAATGATTTGGTTTGCATGGAAAATGAGGTTTGGCTAGTTTGTTGATGGACGTAGGTTACTGTAGCATGCAAATTACTGTTGCTGCTACCGACGTGGATCCTAGAGGGAGCTTTTGTGGTGAATTAATTATCTTGGCTATTGATGATTGGTCATTATTACTCCTATAGTTGTGATGTGGAGTGAATGCCTGATGTGGCGTATTTGAGGTAGAAGACGCGCTTTGGTATTTAATGCCTAGTAAATATGTAGGAGATAAATTATTATGGGTAGATGTAGAAATCCTCTCATTGGAGGATGTGGTCTGTGGTCCTATCTTCTCTGTTTGGAAGTAATTTTTTGTTTTGTCTTGTTCCGTGTTGGTTGTGGGCTGTGTAATTGGTCCATCCCTAATTGGGCTTGTGCAATTGTTTTTATCCGTGTCCATATAATTTTCCATGAGATTGTCCAAGTCTGTTAATTCACTGTATTTTTGTTACTTAGTTTGTTATTATATTGTGAATTTTTTAATGCTTGATGGGCCTCAGAAGGCCCAATTGGGATAGTGGACTTACCTGTGGTTGTTTGTTGCCCTGGTTTCGCCATCACCTACGCTAACCCTATTGTTGATTGTGTGACGATTGTTGTTGTAGCGTTGCATAGATTTCCTTGGAAAATTTACTATTTTCTATCCTGTTTCATGTGCTGTGTCATTATTGGTTGATGTCGAAGACTGATTACTGTTAAGTTGATCTGGTTGTTGTTGTGATAAAAAGTAACAGTTATAGTTTGCATGGCCAAAGCGCCAACATTTGGTGCAAAGTAAATTAAGTCCCTCGTAGAGTAGTATCTGTTTGTGATGTCCTATAAGTATGTGTGTTTTGAGTGGTTTTTCTAAGGGCACTTCAATACATATACGTGCATACCTTCCCCTAGTGGTAGAGGAAGTGCAGGCATCGACCTTTAATAATTGTCCCAACTTAGATCCCACTTTTTGTAGTATTTGTTCGTCATAAAATTCCGTGGGAAGTTCCGGTAGACGAACCCATATGGCTAAGTATGTGAGTTGTGTAGATGATGCTATGAATTTTGGCTCCCTTTTTCGAACAAACAAAAAATGATTTAGTACAAACCATGGACCTCCATGTAGTTCCTTAAGCATGTTTTCTTCTTTTTGGAATTTGATGAGGAAAAAGTCAGAGCCCAGATCGATTAGAGGAAGGTCTTCAGTTGGATTCCATAAGGCAAGAAGCTTGTTTTGTAATAATTGATGTGCTATCTTTCTACCAAATACCTTAACTATTACTGAGTATTTTTATATATGGCGAATATAAGCGGCGTTTGTCTTCAGTAGTGATTGGTATAAAGATATCATCATCTTGGTTGCTGTTAAGACTTTCATCCGATAGGTCGAGTGTATAGTTGACACTCTGTTATATGTGAGGAGTTGTTGGTGGATATTTGTTAGAGAGTAGTGTTTGAAGGAAATATGTTGGCGTGACTGAATTTTTATCATCAATTTGCATTGTACCGATATCAGGTGATTCATTTATTGTTTATTGGTAAGCAGATTGTTGTGTAGAGTCATTCATTGGTGATCGTTGTTTGGTAAGTTTGTTGTATATGATTTTGGTTGATGAAGGAAAATAACTATGACAGAAAGTGGCTGGGGAGTTTAGAGAGAAAAGCTCTCACATCTTTCTTCAAAGGCGTATGGTGTTGACATAAGTAAACATAAGACTATCCATTCTTCCACCCGTCTTCATAATACCAATATGTCACTTGTCAACTACAATATAAAGTAGAGCAAAACTTCAACAAAAGATGGAAATGAGTCATTTTCGTAAAGATCATTCATGCATATGTACATGTATATTCTAAAGCGTAGCTGTGTTTTGTTTATTGGATGGTACATTGTGGCTGAAATATACGGCGGAAAACAAAATTAGACTAGGGGACGAACTAAACATTATCTGGCCAGAATTTCCTAAAAAAAACTCGCTCAAATTCTTTCTCTTGCATGCGGTTCTCAAACTCTTGTATGTTCTTCATCTTTTTAGAGATTCTCTTTGTCTTATGTATATCAACCGCTTTTTCTTCTCCCCATCTTTTACAATCTTTCGCCCCAAGGAAAGCCCAGAACTTTTAAGGTGCTTTGCTACCTTCTTTGACTTTTCTGCTCCAAATCCTCTCTTATTTTTCTTGATATAAACTGGCACAGGGTCCAATCTGCCCTGTTCAGTAATGCCAAGTCCAGTTCCTTCTCTCTAGCCATGCTTTTTCAACAACTTAAAACCAAGATTGGAGGAATGACTGGAATTGAGGTTAAAGAAGCACACATTGCGGCGTAACTCATAGACCTTCCCAAACCGGCGGATTCATATTCTACTCCTTCTCTACCTAATCTCATATTTTTGAATTCACTTTCCTATTTCTCGCTCCTACGAGCAGAAGCCGGAATTAAAAAAAATATAGAATCCAAAAATTCCTTCTAAACAACAACAGGTGGAAGAAATCTGAGTCACTACCCCGAATAACAATTTAGGTACAAGTAAAAGCTCAATTAAGGTTATATAGAAGAAATTTATCAAACTAGAGAGAACATGGTAGGAGGCTTTTTTAGAACTTAGAAATTCTTGAATGTCTATACAAGAAAATAAGTAATAATACCCCTATTTATAATACTACGGACCAAATTTGACTAGATTAACAAAACCTATTCCAATATGAACTTGGTATTGAGTATACGTTTTTCTTCCTTTTAAGTTATGACGGAAAATCCTGTATTTTTTACAGTCTCATGATTAAGTCAAAATACTAGTAAATTTTAAATTATTGAATATTGTGGAAAATAATGCGTTTAAAAGAAGCCAGAATAAATTAGAGATTTTGTATGTCTTTTCAACTAATTTGAAGTTGAGGTGCAATTTTTACTGCTGTAATTTAGGACAATTGACGAGGTATTTTATGTGAAAGGACAAAACGACGGTAATAAAATACTACTACTACAAGTAAAATACAGATACAGTGGGCGGCGGATGCTATATCAATGAGTCAGAATACACGAGCTACTTCTACCACAACAACATTTGTCAGAGTTTTTCGTGCTAATTCTAAGCCAATGTTGTAACGTGGGCAGTAAGTCAAAAAGCACTGGATTTGTGGATTTGGTTCTTGGAATATTAAGACTTTAACCGCTGTTTAACTCTCCGCCCATTGTTCTTTCAATAAAGTTAATCACAATTCCAGAATGCGGAGATTCGTAGCTGAAAAAGCCAAAAATCTCATCACTAAAACCAGGACCACCTATTCTTCTCCTTGTACTACTACTTACGTGTTACAACGCCACACTTCTTCCCCATTACCCTCACCTTCTCAATCAGCTTCTGTTCTTCGTTTTTTGTCCACTCTTCACCCCTCCGCTTCTGATTCAATGGCTTCCGATTATTCATCTACTCCGGTTACTCTTAACAACGTTAATCCAAAGGTATTTCAGCTGCTGTTATACTTTTGAATTTTGTTTTTTCTGTTTTTGCCCTTTTTGACTTGCGGGTTTTTTGTTCGACCCAATTTAGTGATTTTCAATTGTTTCCTAGTAATTGATTTCCTTACAAATAGAATTAATTAGTTTTCAGGGTAAAATAGTGGTTCCGTCGTGTACCCTTTTTTGCTTTTCACTAATGCTATATGTTCCAATATGGGTTCTTGGTCATAATTCCTCTATTTTGGTCCAACTACCAATTCAGTGTTTTATTTGGCTGTTTTTTTTGGTTATTATCACTAGTTCTAGACCACTTTAATTTTCCTGGTAGCAACTGTCACAGAATTTCTACTACTGGGGTGAGTGTGACGTTTTTTTTACTATCTTTCCAAAAGTAGGTTCTTTTTTATGTATTTGCCCTCTCTGATATAGGATTTTACTGTTGTTTCTAGAGTCAACTTACTTGATGTAGTTTAACTTATTGTTGGTTTCAGGTTTTGAAATGTGAGTATGCTGTCCGTGGAGAAATTGTCAACCTTGCTCAGGTAGTTTCGGAACTCCATTTTGTACACTAGCTGGAATTATCTATCTGAATTTCAGAATCTTGTTAGTTGCACTTGCACCATTATTTTTATGGGCATGCTTAATCTTACAAATCCAAATAAAAGTATGTTTCCCTTTGTGATGCATCGTCATGCAGAAATTACAGCAAGACCTCAAGGATAATCCAGGCTCTCATCCCTTTGATGAGGTACCAACTCTTGTTATAATATTGCAGATTTTAACGAATTTTTCTTCTGTCCCTTGTAACAAAGCGTAATATAGGTGGCCTGGAGTGTTATTGTTGTCTTGATCTTTTCTTACATTCCTCTAATTCATGCAGATCTTATACTGCAATATTGGAAATCCTCAATCCTTGGCTCAGCAGCCTATTACTTTCTTTAGGGAGGTGGGTATAAATTGTTTGATTCTAGATTATGTTTGTTTTCTGTCTCATCGAGCAACGTCTTCCTTTATTAGGTCCTTGCATTATGTGACCATCCAGTTATTTTGGACAAAAGTGAAACACAAGGCCTGTTCAGGTATGAAGTTTGTCTATCAACCTCGCTGCACCTTGTAGCTCAATGAAACAATTCATGTACCTTAGTTTCTGTTGATTTCTGAAGAAGTGGAATTGACATGACTAATTTCCATAAAACCAATGAATTCCCCTGTACGTTTCAAACATGGTACAGTTAAATCTCCTGCTACTGATGGAAGCCTTCGTCCTTGATATTGAATGGTAAACAATTTGCATAAAATATTAATGATTGTATTCTTTTTAATTTTTTGAAGTCAAATGACCAACTTATAAAACCAAGTGATGTTATTGTATATGATGCAAGTTATCAAAAGTGAACTATGAGGGTGAAGTGAGCCGTCAATATATGATAAAATGTTTGTGGCATTTTTACGAAGTTCTCATTTATTTTCTTTTCGAAAAATCAACTACCTTTTTTTAGTATCACACGAGGATAATAGAGTTTTTATAAAAGAGATATAACGCAAAATCTATTTTTGCCTCCCAAAGTCCTGATCAATTATTTAGCTTGCTAATAAGGTTGGTGATAATGTTGCAATCGTCTCTCCATATCAGTTTGCTTTTAATGTTGCATTCCTTCTTCACACAAATTGGAAGTTCCTCCTTGTCCATTATCCATAGAATGCCCCGGGCACACCAAAAAAGTGCAAGTCCCCAAGGCTCAAAGGGAGCATGCAACTCGGGACATTAGGCATAGCCCGGAGTGCTATAGTGTTGGTTTATGATCATAAATCCCTTGCCGTCAGATCACATGTACTTGAGTTTTGTGTCATCTTGGCATATCAAGTAATGTTCTTGAGGCCTGACGAAAGTGAAATGTATGGCTTTTAAGCTAATAGATCAATCTGACGTGTAAGGTTGTGATGATTGAGAAGCTCTAAGTTGATAACTTAAAATTTCTGATGGTCAACATATTTAGATAATTGATCTGTTTTATTTGTGCCTAGTGCCTATGGGTATTGTTTCAGTTTTAGCTTCAAAATGTAGGCACATTTTGTGGTTTTTCTAAAGTAAAAATTCAATTGGCTATAATCAAACTCTTAGTTTTTCCGTATTCTATGAAATCTGTGCAATGCAGTGTCATTAAATTATAGCCAATCACTTTTTGTTTTCAAAACGTTTGTATATTTCAATTGATAGGTTCTTTTTTTTTTGAGCATTTCCTTTCCCTTAATAGTAGTATGGTGTTGATTATGACTTGCACCCAAATAGAAGCAAAAACCTTTTGCATGGACATTTGTTTGAAACATCGGTTACCAATAAAGGAATATGGTGAAGAATTTGAATCAACTTCAGCCATGTTCTACAGGATTTTTCTAAATAGCATTGTCCCTATGATGGGGAAAGGAGATTTCTGAACTACGTCTCATAGAACCAGTCGATAACTGCAAGAAATTGTTATGTGATGTCTTTCATTCTCTCTTTGTTTTGTAGTGCGGATTCAATTGAACGAGCTTTCCAGATCCTCGATCAAATTCCTGGCAGAGCTACAGGTGCATACAGCCACAGTCAGGTGACTATATCTTCTATTGTATTGTCTTAGATTTGCAGCCAGTATAACCATAGAACTTACTCTTGTGCTTGCTAAATCTAGGGCGTCAAAGGCTTACGTGATACAATCGCATCTGGCATTGAAGCTCGTGATGGCTTCCCTGCTGATCCAAATGATATTTTCTTGACTGATGGTGCAAGCCCAGCGGTAAATTATTTTGATCTCAAATAGTTATTCGTACAGCTTTGAGAGAAGTAACTAAAAGAATAGCAAGATGTTGATAATGTTGGTTCTTCATCTTCTATTCAGGTTCACATGATGATGCAGTTGCTCATTGGGTCAGAGAATGATGGAATTCTTTGCCCTATCCCCCAATATCCACTTTATTCCGCTTCAATTGCCCTCCATGGTGGCACTCTCGTACGTGCATTTGCTTCAGTTTAAAGTTGATCAGTGCTAGTTGTATAGTTGGCTTTGAATGCAACTATTAGATCTCTTATAAAAAAATTAATTAATGGGCTAGGTAACCTACTTACTTCTGGAAGAGATTATTGTAAACTATTAATGCGAACTGACCTGATTGACTTACTCTTCAGTTGAAGGTAATCCATGCAGGAGCCTCTTATTGTATGCTTTGATCTGGTGTTATAGGTTCCCTATTATCTTGATGAAGAAACAGGATGGGGACTGGAGATCTCAGAGCTTGAGAATCAGCTAAAAAATGCAAAATCCAAGGGTATTAATGTTAGGGCTTTGGTTGTGATCAATCCAGGCAACCCAACTGGGCAGGTAATGGTTTATCATATTTTGGATCTCATCGTTGATTTACGTCATTTAACGAAAACCTTCTCTGGTGGAAAATACTGGTCTTCCCTTTCCAATAATTTTTTAGAATGATTACAGATAGCATGAATAGTTTTCTGTGTATACCTTAGGTTCTTGCTGAGGCCAACCAACGAGATATTGTGGAATTCTGCAAGAAAGAAGGCCTTGTTCTTCTGGCGGATGAAGTGAGTTTATTCCCCTCTGGATTCTTCTTTGCTTGATTATGACAAATTCTTTTGCTTCCATGGGAAATTACCAGTGATTCTGCACTTGTTTGAGAGTTCACAATTTTATTTTATTTTCATTCACGAGTGTTGTGAAATTAATTCTAAATTGTAAGTCCTCTCATATCTTATCGTACTCATGCAGGTGTATCAGGAAAATGTTTATGTGCCTGAGAAGCAGTTCCACTCATTTAAGAAAATTGCGCGCTCTATGGGATTTGGAGAAAAGGACCTCTCTTTAGTTTCTTTTCAGTCTGTGTCAAAAGGTAGATATTACTGCCTCCATCCATCCTCTCTTGTTGGTCGTCTTTCTCTTTCGTTTGTCTGCATGTTATGAAGTTGCGGGGGAGAAGGATTAAAGGGGCGGGTTTTCATTTTCACAAATGCATCTGATTTTTGTGTCTTTTAACCCTTGGCTGTTGCTAACTTTCCTTCTGGCTTTAGGATTTTATGGGGAGTGTGGAAAGCGAGGAGGTTACATGGAGGTCACTGGATTTAGCCCTGAGATAAGGGAACAGATATACAAAGTGGCATCTGTCAATCTGTGTTCCAACATTTCTGGTCAGATTCTTGCAAGCCTCGTCATGAGCCCCCCAAAGGTTGGTAATGCTGTTTGTGTAATATATGGCATTGCATTCCCCAATAGGAGTAAAGTTGATGTTGAGACGACCCCAGATAGCTTGGGATTGAGGTGCAGCTGTTAATAGGAGTGGGGTTGCCACCCTCATTAGTCGAATATTTTGGTAGTGGTAGTTATAGAATCCATAACCAGAACGAGTACCTCAATGGTTTATTTTATCTACTATGTGTATCATACTCTTTAATGTGGTGTGAGCTACATTAGATGTCACTACAGTGATATGCACTCAGCTCTGACTATAAACTTAGAAGCTTGTTGTGAGGTTCCTTGTATCTGTGTTATAGATGCTTGACTAACAGGACTGCTCTATTGATTTCTGCAGGTGGGTGATGAATCATACGAGTCTTTTAGTGCTGAGAAAGAAGCTATACTCTCATCCTTGGCAAGGCGTGCAAAGGTCAGTAGCATCAGCACATACAACTAGTGGTGACTAAATAATAAACTAGTTTGTTTTGGTGAAGTAGTGGGAGTTGTTTTTGTATCATGAACTGAACCTTGCATCTGCAAAAATAAGAGCTGGTTAAAGTAGGTAGCAGAAATGATGGCTGAAATTTTCTCAAAAAAAAGTTGACCCAAAATAATTTCCTCTAGAGTTTCATCTCAGCTTTTCAAAAACGGAAAAGGGTCAGATGTGTCCCTGTACTATCAAAAATTAGTTATTAGTACCCTCCATTATACTATCCTTCACTATCTTCCCCTACCGTTACCCATTTTAATATTTCTACCCCCACATCTAACGGACTCTTTCTTTAAGACACGTGGCACGATCTTAAACAATCTAACTATCTACCCTTTTACCCTACCCGTTCAGCCCCGACCCGATATCCAAACCCACCCCAAAAGAACCTGAAATTTAATCCATACATATGGTTATTCTCCATTGTTTATACGGAGGAAACTGTTTCAGCCCATCTAAGGCTGCTGGATTCAAAAAAAAAGAAAATGAAATCAGATAATTCTTTAACTTCGGTATTTGGGGAAATCCGTAGTAGAAATTTCAAGTTTGAGTTTTAAGAGTTGGTTGTGTTTCAAATTGGGAGCTGAAAACTTAAACTCAAATTGTGGCTCATTGTTTGGACGATTTGGTATTCGAACATTTGAATAACTTTCAAGTTCTTTGTGATGATAGTAGTTTGAGTTTGTGCGAAAATTTTAGATCCACTATTGACGAACAAACTTTGAATTTTAGAAGTGGGTTTGATGTTTAAACTCGAAAAAGACGAACTGGGTATTTTAATTTCGTTGATGTTTGTTCGAATTGGTTCTTTCTATTGTAATTAGTATTGTTTATCAAGCTTCAGTTGTTAGTACACTGTTGAAATTTGGATTGAAGAAGAAGAATCTCATTGCTAAAATTTCGAGAGCTATTGGTTCACAAAATTTAAAAAACAGAAATGCCATTGTTGAACCTTGAAGTTTGGGATTGAACTAGATTGGAAGGTTATTTGGGACAAATTTGAAATAGATTTGGTCGACATTTGAGAGCGGAAAATACAGCAATTGTTTGTCTTCAAGAACTTTGCATAATTCTGAAAATTGCTGCGATTTTACAATTGCAGTTTAATGTGTTCTAACTTCATGTCTTTGTTTACTCATGGCTAGATTAGCTTAGCATTAATACATATTAACTATAATCTAGTTTTTGCTTTCTTAAATTGTCTGTGCTAATTTTGATGGCACTAGATTAGCTTAGGCCGGTGAAAAATATTTGTTTTAAAGGAGAGAGAATTTTGTAAAAGAAAGACCTAATGCAAAGAAGTAGTTCACTGGTAATGTAAATGGGTCTGGAGTTACGGGTACGGATACTAGTTTGAAATGGAAAATGGGTCTGGATACTTAAAAAACTACCACATGTACGCAGGGCACGACTCCGTCAAATGTGGGGGCAGAAATATTAAAATGGGTAACGGTAGGGGTAGATATTGAATGATAGTATAATGGGGGGTACTAATAACTATTTTTCGATAGTACAGGCACATATCTAGCCCTTTTCCGTTTCAAAAATGGTATATCTAAATTTTTTGCTTCCTTATGGCGAATTTTATCTGTCCAATTGTACGTTTTCTATTTTTCTCCTCTGTTTGGCAAGTTTTTTTGACTAATTTGTCAACAGACACTAGAAGATGCATTCAACAGTTTGGAGGGTGTAACATGCAATAAAGCAGAGGGCGCAATGTATCTATTTCCACGTATTAACTTACCAGCTAAAGCAATAAAAGCAGCAGAAGAAGCTAAAACTGCACCAGATGCCTTTTATGCTCGACGCCTCCTCAATGCCACTGGAATTGTTGTTGTCCCTGGGTCTGGATTTGGCCAGGTGATTGTTATATTTTACCACCTGCTTCATGCTATTCCTAGTATTATTATGGTTGGTAACTGTCACCACTAATTTCCAAAAAACTTTCACCTGGATGATTAAACGTCAACAGACAAAACTTAAGAAACATTTCCTAAACAGTTTGAATATCTTTACCTTCAGAAGGGAACCAATAATCTTTATCTTCAGAAGGGTTTAATGAAAAATGAATTGCGAAAACAAATTGGGTGAACAATTTTGGAGGATTGTTTCTATAGGAAAAAACCAACTGTTTTTGCAATCAAGGTTTGTCTGATTCGAGAAACGTTCCTTCTGTCAAGATGCTGATTAGTTTGCATACCTGGTAGACGTTAAAATTTCATTCTATTGTAATTTTAGATGCTAGAAGCTGACATAGGAACGAAAAGAATGCAGTACTGAAAAAGAATCAGCTTACTAATAGAAGAAACTAATAAGAAAAGAAATACTTTCCTATAGAGAAGAAACTGTTTATTGTTTGAAAACTAAGAGGTATTTGTTGCACTACTGTTTATTGAGAACTGGTGGTATTGACTAAATCTGTTGTATTTGCTCGTCGCTTCTGTGCAGCGTCCTGGAACGTGGCATTTTAGGTGCACAATATTACCGCAGGAAGAGAAGCTACCAGCTATTGTATCTCGTCTTACAGATTTCCATAAGCAGTTCATGGATGAATTCCGCGGCTAAGGAATCATAGGAGTACATTCTATTGCAGCCCCTGATTATAGAGAAATTTTGAATAAGCACATCTTTGTATGTTCTATTTCCATCCTCACCAGAAACAGTTGTACTTGAGTAGTGAAAACTGATAGGATTGTTTGGCACTACAAATTGGGGGGTTGTTTACCCTTGTTTTATTTGTATTTGACCTAACATTGATCTTCTCTCCTTCTAGATGATCATCAATGTGAAGATTGCTTTGTATGCCAAACAGGTCAAGCTTTAGCCAAAGTTAATATGGTAAATCAAAATTTAAACGTATTGGTCGTTGTACAATCAAAGCTTATAACGCAGGCAATCTTGGTCACTTTCACTTGGTATACTCGAGTTAAGCAAGTCCAGTTTTGTGGGTAAGTTATACAACAACAACAACAACCTAGTAAAATCCCACCAGTGGGGTCTGAGGAGGGTAGAGTATATACAGACCTTACCCCTACCCTAGAGGGGGTAGAGAGGCTGTTTCCTGGAGACCCTCAGCTCAGATACAGTAGATCTGTGACAACAAAACGCAAAAAATAATCAGCAACGTGAGAGACAACAAATAAATGGAAAAACAGTAACACAAGTATTATGCAAAGGTGTGAAACACAACATAAATCGCTAGCAGTGCTAGACAAAACACTATCATACTCGGCGGTACAAAGAGGGAAACTGGGACAAAGAGGAAAACTGCTCGACTACCCTTTTAACCTACAACCCTAATGCTCGACCTCCACACCTTCCTATCAAGAGCCATGTACTCGGAAATCCGGAGCCGCGCCATGTCCTGTACGAGAAGAGGTAGAAGGCGCCATGTCATGTCTGATCACCTCGCCCCAATACATCTTGGGCCGCCTTCTACCTCTTCTCGTACCTGTCAAAGCCAACTGCTCACACCTCCTAACCAGGGCATCTAGGCTTCTCCTCTTCACGTGTCCGAACCACCTAAGACGCGCTTCCCGCATCTTGTCGTCCACCGGAGCCACGCCCACCTTCTCCCGAATATCTTCATTCCTAATCTTATCCAGCCTAGTGTGCCCACACATCCATCTCAACATCCTCATTTCTGCTACTTTCATCTTCTGGATTTGTGGGTAAGTTATATTTCCTGCAAATGAAAGTAATTGATCAAAGAAAAATATTCGTTTTAACCTCTTTTTTTAATTAACTCATCAAGTTTCTGATGATAGCTTGCATATGCAGCAGAATTTTATTCTTAAGTGCAGTCTGTTTAGAAAAGAATCGGTCACCAATTGAAAGCATGTTGGCAACACAATTTCTTTTATTTCCTGCTTGGACATTTTACTATATCTTGTACAAAATCTTTATTGATATGTTCTACAAGTAAATCCTAGATGTGTGTATACGGTCAAAATCGGGCTTGCCTAATTTTGTACGATTAACCGAAGTCGAGACAGAAGATCAAGGCTCGGCCTCATTTATATCTGAGCATGGTACGGAGACAGATTGGTAAGCTCGTGGATCAACGGCCGATGAAGATCGAAGCCGGCCGTGACCGAGACCAAAACTAGAAAGAGATCAAACAAGATCGAAGAAGGCCTGTTGCGTCGAATAACAGAAAGCCGAGATATTCGTGATTAGACGAGGATCGTGGCAAAAATCTTGGCACGTATCGACTTAGGATCGGATATTTAGCCCATCGTGGGATTTACTTCTGTAATTAGAATTGTACCTAAATAGGATTCCTCTACTATATAAAGAGGGTTTTAAAACACATATTATTTTATGTGATCGAGGGTGACATGAGGTACAACGCACTGCTCATAAGGCCTTCGATCCATAACAGGAGGGCAATGCCCTCGACACTTCATCAAGTCCTGAAGTTCCCAACATCGGAAGGAGTCAAAACGGTGTACAACGAACAACTCGTCGCCAAAGAAATGTTTGCGATCGACGAAGTGATACCGATATCGGCGCTTTCATCAACAAAGGTATCGGAGTCAAAGGGAAAGCATGAAGTTAAATAGCAACCACAATCACAAGCTTCGGCCCGATCGGAGGAGTAGGAAAATTTCGAGGATGATGATTATATGATACCTCGAACCTTCATAATCCCCGATGATTCTGACACAACGAAGTCAACGGTCGAAGAGCTGGAACAAATCATATTGATCGAACATCTGCCCGATCGAAAGGTATACCTAGGCACGAGGTTAACTCCCGAGCTCAGGAAAAAACATATTCAATTCCTTTTAGATAACATAGATTGTTTTGCTTGGTTCCATCTCCATATGACAGGGATCCTACCAGAGATCACCACCCATCGACTAAGCTTGGACCCGAAGTTCCGTCCAGTAAAGCAAAAGAGAAGACCCCAGTCCGAGGTTAAGGATACATTCATCAAGGACGAGGTAATCAAACTTCTCAAAATAGGGTCCATTCGAAAAGTAAAATATCCCGAATGGTTAGCAAACGTAGTGGTAGTCCCTAAGAAGGGAAATAAACTTAGAATATGCAAAGACTATAAGGACTTGAACAAGGCCTGCCCTAAGGATTCTTTTCCTTTGCCGAATATCGATCGCACGATCTGTATTGGTCTAAATTTGGCGACCTGGTAACAGCAGATAAACAAGATCGAGGACAAGGTCGACCACGTCGTAATAGTGGGAGGCCGTTCTCAGGAAGGTTATTGTCGGGGACGAGTAGCTGGAATAAAGAGATAACGGCAGGATAGATTTAGAAATGGGCATAAGGAATATTCCTTTGAATATTCCTTATTTTGTACTTTTTAGGGTTTCTTGGAAATACCCCTTATAAATAGGAAGAGGAAGAGAACAAAAAGGGGATCTTCATTTTTATGATAAAGACACATTGTAAAAGGTTGACTTGAGAGAATATACAAAAGTTGTCTTGTTCACTGATTATCTTATTCAAGCACATGTTATTTAATCTTTGTTCACAAAAGTTGTCTTGTTTACTCGCTGACTTCGTCGCCGATTTCAGTGCCAATATAATGACTGAGGTCGAACAAGAAACTTCTCGCACCTCATCCAGTCTGTCCGACCTATGGGTCCTATACACTGATGGCATATCCAACGCGTCAGGATCTGGACTGGGACTCGTACTCGAGGTCCCAACAGGAAAAGTCATCCGCCAATATATACGGTGTCCTGATATGACTAACAATGAGGCCGAGTATGTGGGCGTAATTGCTGGATTAAAGCTAGCTCTCAAATACGGAGCGCGACGAGTCGTCCTAAGATGCGACTCGCAACTCGTTGTTAACCAAGTCACAAGGACTTTCCAAATCAAAGAGCAGAGGCTACAAAAGTACCAGGAAGAAATTCATAAACTGCTACTAGATTCGACGAATGTGACTCGACCAGATAACTCGAGCACAAAACATCGAGGCAGACGGTCTCGCCAAGTTAGCAGCGGCCAACAAAAAAACCACGAAGGAAAATGTGGTCACCCTCCTCCACTCATCAATAGACCAACTTGAGGTACACTCTGTAAACTTGACTTGGGATTGGCGCAACCGTATTGTAACATATTTGCAGGAAGGAGTACTCCCAGTAGACAAAAAGGAAGCCAAAAAGCTTCGAATGCAGGCGACCGGGTACAACATCATAAATCACAACCTATACAAAAGAACATTTGGGGGCCCCTTAGTGAAATTCCTAGGGCCGAATCAAAGAAGACGCGTGCTCGAGGAAGTACACGAAGGCCACTGCGGTGCCCATACCAGCAATCGGCCCCTCGTTAGATGCCTCATTCGAGCAGGTTATTATTGGCCCACAATGAAGAAGGAAGCCGCCGATTACATCAAGAAGTGCGAACAGTGCCAGAAATATGCTCCTATGATACACCAAGCGGGCGAACACCTCCACTTTGTTACATCGCCATGGCCATTCATCAAATAGGGAATGGACATCGTCGGACCCCTCTCAGCAGGGCGAGGTAATGTACGTATTCTTTTGGTTTTAACTGACTATTTTTCCAAATGGGTAGAAGTAGGTGCGTTCACCCAAATACGCGAACAGGAAGTTATCGCATTCATATGGAGAAACATCATATGCCGCTTCGGCATTCCCAAAGAAATCAGTTGTGACAACGGACCCCAATTCATTGGAAAGAAGACCGTCGAGTTCTTCGAAAAATGGCACATCAAGCGACTACTCTCCACGCCATATCACCCTGCTGGTAACGGCTCGGCCGAATCCTCCAACAAAACAATACTAAATATCTTAAAGAAAAAGCTTGAGGACGCCAAGGGACTATGGTTGGAATTACTACTAGAAGTACTATGGGCATACCGCACCACGCCAAAAACAAGCATAGGAGAAACGCCATATCCACTAGTCTACGGGACTGACGCTATGATACCAGTCGAGGTCGGGGAACCCAGTTTGAGATACTCCAACAAAAGCGGACCAAGCAATGACGAGAACAGAAAATAAGACCTCGACGAAGCAGAGGAATGAAGAGACATGGCTTACATAAGAATGGTAGCCCAAAAGCAACAAGCAGAACGGTACTACAAAAAAAAGCCAAAGTACGACCACTCAAAGTCGGAGACTATATACTCAAGGCCAAAACACAAGCGAGCAAAGATTCGAGAGAAGGCAAACTAGGAACCAATTGGGATGTGCCATAGAAAATCACGGTAGCAGCAAACAAAGGATCATTCCAACTAGAAACAATGGAGGGAAAGCTACTACAAAGAATTAGAACGTCGCCCATCTCAAGTAATTGAACTTCTGAAAACAGACGCCCTCCACGTCATACTCTTTTTCCCTCACCCGGGTTTTGTCCCGGACGGGTTTTCTCGAGGAGGTTTTTAATGAGGCGACAAAGGGGACATCTCGAAGTTCAAGTATAATTCATCGCCCCGCCTGCCGATTGCTTCTCCAGGCCAAACGATTAAGGGACTGGATACATGGGAACTTCGCCAATATATGTATGAAACAAGAAGAAACATGTAATATTCTCCAATGAATGAAATAAAGCAGCGTTTTTTCCCTCTCCACCAAGTCCTTTTACACTTTACATTTGACCTCGCTCGAATTACTTTACATTCGACCTCGCTCGAATTACTCTACATTCGACCTCGCTCGAATTACTTTACATTCGACCTCATTCGAATTACTTTACATTCGACTTCGCTCGAATTACTTTACATTCGACTTCGCTCGAATTACTCTACATTCGACCTCGCTCGAATTACTTTACATTCGACTTCGCTCGAATTACTTTACATTCGACCTCGCTTGAATTACTCTACATTCGGCTTCGCTCGAATTACTCTACATTTGACCCCG